CTGGAATGGTTTGCCATTGCCTTCTCCAGCTCATTTTACAGATGAGGAAACTGAGGCAAATAAAGTGACTTGCCCAAGGTCACACAGCTAGCAAGTGTCTGAGGCTGGATTTGAACTCATGAAGATGAGTCTTCCTGATTCAAGCCCAGTGCTCTATCCACTGCACCACCTAGCTGCTCCTAGAATGTGTTCAGGAGTTGGTGATTAGTCCATTTTGACTGAAGTATAATAGTATGTGTGTGATGGGCAGCATTGTGTAGTGAAAGAACCCCCAGATTTATAGCCAGACAACCCAGGTTCAGATCCCACATCTGCCACTTAGTGCCTATGTAACCTTCTGCAAGCTGTGAGATTTCTACGGGCCTGTTTCTTCATCTGTAAAATGATGGCATTGGACTGGATGGTCTCTTTGATCCCTTTTAACTCTAGATCTGTGAGGTTTAGTGTGGGAATTGTGTGAGATACTGATCCATTTACAAAGGAGTTCTCTGCTAATGAAAGGTTTCAGGATGAAAGGAAACATTTCAGAGAAGCAAAAGGACTTATTGCTGCACTTTTTTTATAGAATAAGGAGTACGTCTGTCGGGGCCATGACTACGAGAGGTTGGAAGCCTTTCAGCAAAGGATGCTGAGCGAGTTCCCCCATGCCATTGCCATGCAACATCCCAACCACCCAGATGACTCCATCTTGCAATGTGACGCCCAATGTATCCTTTGAACCCAAAGGAGTAAAATATTGCTGTTAGTTCCTGGGAGACCAGGGCTTATTTCCCTCTATCTGCTGTCTACTTTTGGTGATCTTATACAAGTTTTCAGCCAGTGTACCCATATTATTGAACTTTCTATTTGACACAATTATCTTGCCAAGCTGAAGAGATGTCAACACTACCTTAGCATTGGGCAGCTGCTCAACATCAGAGGAAACGGATGATCATTGGCATGACTGGGGCAAAGAAACTTGGCCCATGCTGCTTGGCTTTTACTCATGACTGACCAGTCACTTATTTCATACACACTGTGTGTTGGTAAATTATCCACCCAGTTGGCCAGGAGAGAGCACTTTGCAATCTGGGTCATGGATCCAACCAGCGTATTCTCCAACAAATTATTTTCCTCCCACTCCTGCTTGTGAGGATTTCTGTACCATCCTTTTCAAGGCAGATTGGTAGTGGTGGGGTTTTGTCCCTATGGTGAAAATCTTCGGTATGAATGAACATGCAGCAGACACAGTAACACTGCTTAGCAGCCTCTGTGGAGAGAGCCAGATGGCAGTTGACAAAATTGTGGCAGGATTTTTCCAGAGAAGGCAGGGCAAGTGGCCTCCCATCTGGTATTTTACCAGCAAGGACTCCAAACAGTATTTTGCTTTAAGGTTGCTTGCCAGTAAAAAACAGTTTATCAACAATTGAAAAGAAGGCCTACTCTCTGTTTCCTCTCCTCCATGTTGCATGTATCTACATTCTCTCCATTTTCACTTTTCCTTCTCAAAATAACCTGGAAAGTATACCACCATTATTAACCTGGGTGGATAGAGTGGTCACTAGATACATGGCGCTAGACCTAGTCCATCATATCAAGGTTCCCGAGAATGTAAGAGCTTTGGGTAGAGCTCATTGGTTCTTCCCACTCTTGAGGCTTTTCTACACATAGCTAAGGACCCAGAAGCTCTGAGGAGAGAGGGTGGAGAGCAAGGAAAATATACTCCTTTGCCTTCATATCTTTTATTGTGACAAAAAGAAGCAGGCCAGGCTGAATACCCCTGAATCTTTCCTTACTGGTGACAGTCAAAAGTCGATCTCTGGAAAGTCTGTTTCCTTGAACTTTGCCCTTCTCAGATTTGCAGATCTATGCAGTGACACCAATTCCAGATTATGTGGATGTCCTTCAGATGGATCGAGTACCTGATCGAATCAAAAGCTTTTATCGTGTCAACAATGTTAAGAAGTTCCGGTATGACAGACCTTTCCATAAAGGTCCAAAGGACAAGGACAATGAATTCAAGGTAGGAAGGGTCAGGAACAAGGTCAGAAATTTGGAGGATGTATTCAGTAGATCACTGGGGACAATCCCCAGGTTTTTAAGAAGTTGGTAGTCCTCAGATTCCTTGGTAAAAGGCTATTAACAATATATAAATTTCATTTAATTGAGAACAGGGTGTGTTGTACTCCGTGACCTCACTGCCACTGTCCTTCCTCTGTCCTCTGCAGAGTCTGTGGATTGAGCGTACCACTCTGACCTTGACCCACAGTTTACCTGGAATCTCTCGATGGTTTGAAGTGGAGAGAAGAGAGCTGGTAAATGACTTGTTGCTTGTGGCTGGGCTTCATTAGGTGATACAGCTTCATCCCAAGCATTGCTTCTAGCTTGTTGAAGCAAGTTGTTTTTGTGTTAAACAAATGTGTAATTCAGGGATAAGACACTGGGGAACCTATGAGAGTATAAATTCACTCAGATAAAATAGTGATGGTGAATTGATGTGTTTGCTCATAAGTTTTCATTTAAAAAAGGCTTACTTGCAAGTTCCTACAGATTGAAAGCGAGAAGTGGTTAGTATTTGAGGATGTTGAACACCAAAAATTATTCCAGAGTTGAGGCTTAAATGCAAATTTTGCCAAATATTACCACTACAAAGGCAAGTGTGACCATCCCATTTGCTCCTCCTTGATACCACCTAGACTTAAGTAACATATGACTCTTCCTCTATGACACTGGAAACAGCTAAAGAAATGCTTCCTTTAGTTCAGAAAACCTCTGAATAATTAAGAGTTTTCCAAAAATGGAATGGTCTGCCTGAGAGGTAATGAGCTGCCCATATTAATTAAGTGTTCAAGCACAGGGTGGCTGACCATGCAGCAGGGCTTTTAGAAAGAGAGAATCCTTGCAGTGGGCAAGGGGTTGTTCTAGATGACCTTTACAGTTCCTTGTGGTTCTTGGGTCTGGGGTCTATAAAATGTCAGTAGGATGAAGCCATGTTCTGTGTGCTTTGTAGGTTGAAGTGAGCCCTTTGGAAAACGCCATACAGGTGGTTGAGAACAAGAACCAGGAGCTTCGGACACTGATCAGCCAGTATCAGCACAAGCAAATGCATGGTAATATTAACCTGCTCAGCATGTGCCTCAACGGAGTCATAGATGCTGCTGTTAATGGTGGCATTGCCCGATACCAGGAGGTGAGCCATCTGTAGGCATTAGTTCTCCCCAATGCTCTTATGCATGACAGCAGCAAATTAAGCCAAAGGCATCAAATCCATGCAGATTCAAGAAAGAAGTAAAAAATTATTTTTATAATATCACACAAGTGATCCAGCTTAATCGTCCTATCAATTAATCAACAATCATTTATTAGATTTATTAGTATAGTACCTAGCACATAGTAGCTAACTAAACCTACTGTAATTAGATTAACCTATTATTAGTATGTCTAGTAGTACTAAATTACTAGTAACTAGGTAACTAAACTAGGTGCAGAGGATAGAAATACTATTCCTCAAGGAACTTACATTCTATTGGAGGAAACAAACTGTACTCATATAAATATATACAAAAATCAAATCAAAGTAAATATAAGGTAACTTCAGAAGGAAAGCAGCAATCACTGGGGGGAGCAGGGGGGAGGGGTGGGAAGGGGAGATGGCATCAGGAAAGGCCTTACTAGTCAAAGTGTAGTCCCTGAGATAGTATCCTTGCTAGATATTCAATTCAACAACTATTCAACAAAAGAAATAGTTTTAATTAAGCCACTTCTTGGCTAATTGTTTCTCTGCCTCAGAGACCTAGGAACTGGTCTTTGCCAGACTGTCAAAGAAAAATAGCGGCAGAGCTGCCCAGTGAGGCTGTGGCCCCTAAATGTCCTGACCTTGCCCCACATGTCTGCCCCATCCTTCTCTGTTTGTTGTGGCCTGCAGAACAGGTCATTGGAAAGGACTTTCATTCTTCAGGGCAGACTGTTTTATTTTTTTCACTCCTCTTTGACAGCTTGGCAAACCATTTAGTCATGGAAGAATGTTAAATGACCTCCAGGAAGCACACAGGAGCCAGAGCCAGCTCAGTAGTGGTCTGCTGCCCTGTTTGTGTGGGAGGCCAGCGTCTGGTTTCCAGTCTTTGCTGTGCCTTCCAAAGGCTAGCAGGGCCTGCCACACAATGTCTAGTGCTATTAAGCAGTGATCACTCAGAGGACAGAGGAGCAGCCCCGACAGGCTCAGAAGAGACCTTCTACTCTTTCTTGGCCAAGAATCTCGAAGTAACCCCACTATGTGTAGAGGGTTTAAACAGGGAGAAGAAGAAGCCTTAGAGCTCCTAAGCCAAAGAGGAAAATCGCTGCAGGCTGGGACTCTCTGATAAATGTTTCTGTCAAGTATCTCAACTGTCTTTCCAATTGTGTTTTCTGGCAAAGGTTGACTGGAGAGTACATACTACTCTATGTTTCCCTGGAGACTATTAAGGCTAGACTGAGGCTTGGAGTGTTCTTTATTGATTGACTTAATGTTTCCAGAAATCTTGCCAGTTAAAACTCTTTGACCCAGAACTGAGTAGGGGTAGAGGGTGGGTTGGGGAGGGAAGAAGGGGTTCTTTCTGTTAGATGTTGTCACTGACTGCTGTCTCTCCCTCCCCCTGCAGGCTTTCTTCGATAAAGATTATATTACCAAGCACCCAGGGGATGCAGAGAAAATCACACAACTCAAGGAGCTTATGCAGGAACAGGTACCTCTCAACATTTCACTAGTAAGGAAGACCAGAGACCACCTGATTCAATCACAAACAGTTACATTAGGCCAGTGCTAAGTAACGTCATCTAACTGGGAAATTGGGAAGATGTATGCTTTTGGAGGAAGGCTTCCCTATTCCGCAGAATGGTTTGCTAATTTTTATTCATCTTGTTTGAAACAGGTCCATGTCCTGGGAGTGGGCCTAGCAGTTCATGAGAAATTTGTTCATCCAGAAATGCGCCCTCTACATAAGAAGCTAATCGATCAATTCCAGATGATGCGGGCCAGTCTCTACCATGTAAGCTAATCCCTTAATTCAGTTGTCTTGAGAAATTCAAATGCATGGTCAAAACCAGTCCCATCAAATTCAGAGAGAAAGAATGATGAAAAACTATTTTCTTCGTGAATACTTATCCTATAATAGCTATACAACAGAAAATGAAAATGAGAGGGAACACTGAAAGGATAAGAAAGAAAAATAAGTGATTGACAGTTATCAATAAGTGCATTTTGCCTTTGCAAAATGGGTGCCTTGACTGGGCATACTGTTTGATGATTTGGCTGATATAGGCAACAGCGGATGTCAGGATCTCTTCCACCTGGCCCTTGAGTGAAGACTCTTTTTTCATTAATCAGAGCCTCCATGAAAGTCCTACTTTGATCCCTCATTATAGTGTGGCAGTCGTTTGAATTCTCAAAGGCAACACCTGTAGAGTACAAGCTTTACCACACTGGAAAGGGTTCTAGTACGGCCCCTACCAACTGACCATGCCTGCTGTCTGAGGGCCAGCCAAGAGAGTAGAGAGGTTCATGAATTCTTTGGCCACAGAAACCCATGAGACAGAGAAAATGTAAATGGTGCTCAGTGCTGTGCAGCTTCCTTTCATTCTTATTAGTTGTGATGAATCAATGCTGCAAAAGGGAGGGAAGGGTGCTGATAATCACACAGTTTTCAGGCCGTCTAGAAATATCCATTTCATTGTTGGTACTCTAAATATGGGACAGCTAAGTTGCTCAGTGGGTAGAGCTCCACGCCCAGAGTCGGGAAGACCTGAGTTCAAGTTCACCCTCAGATACTTACTAGATATGTGACCCTGGGCAAGTCACTTAACCCTGTTTGCCTCAGTTTCCTCATCCATAAAATGAAATGGAGAAAGGAATGGCAAACCACTCCATCATCTTTGCCAAGAAAACCCCACATGAGGTCATGAAGAGTTGGACACAACTGAAACCACTGAGCAACACTCTAAATATGAGGTCCAGTGACCAGTGAATCATGTTTCTACTGGAGAAATTTCACCATATTAATACTGGCGTTCTCACAAAAAATGAAATCAAAAGATACAAGGAAGTTGCAGCTAAATGGAAGGATAACTCCCAGGTTCTCCTTGGAGAGGTAAGTAAAGGAGTTGCTGAAGTTGTTTTCATCATGCCACCCAAAGGCTGTTAACAGGAAATATCATTTCATAGAATACTTAATCATTTCATTTTGCAGGGCTTGTGATGATTATAAACAAAAATGCCACCCCAAGTATGAATGCAATCCTATAAAATCTAAGGTTCTAGAACAATGTTCTAAGACATCATGCACCCCTATCCCTCAT